GAAGTAAGCTGTTGGGTACAACTGTTACATCAGCATGATTCTGTATTGATACAAGTATAGCAAAACTGCTACTAACTCTGTTCCAATCAAGACCAAAACCAATCTAATTAACTTGTATAACATAGGATTAAGGCATATGTAACAGTTAAACAGCAACAGCTGATACAATTCCAGGCAGCAGCCCCACCTCTCTTTTTTAAAGGAGTTACAAATTATATAGGACCATAACCTTAAAGGTGTTATAGGCCCACAATATAACTATAGCGTGCACATAGTCAGAGACCTATATACCTGTGTGTGCCTTAGTCACCTCAAATTTATATTCATCACACAAATTGCTACATGTTAAGCTGTACTGTAGAGCAATTCTGATTCAGCTGCTTATATACTGGGCCTCTGAATGTTTAACATTCCTCACAAGGGGACAGGGACTTTTCTTAGGACATCCAGGCACTCGGGAATCTCTTGGTGGCTGAAAGGTTCCCTGACACTGCTAGCTATTTCACACTGCTGGTAAATCAGAACAGAGATGTAGCTGGTCATTTGTGTCCTGGGCAGCAGAAGTTTACCTAATAGTTTGTGGTCTAAGGCACTGGAATGGAGGCATGGGTCTAAAGGCTCCAGGTAAGTAGAGTGGGGTCAGGAGTCTCCAAGTCAACTTCACCCTCCCTCCCCTTGGAAAACACACATGCTGTGAGGGAAAATGTCACTATAGACAGCAACCAGGGAGTTCACCCTCTCCCCTGGCCCCATAGCCACTGCTGATTTATATGCTGAGGGGAAGATATAAAGCCCTTATTTTAGTGGCAGCTGCTAGATGCCTCCCCTTACAGCAACAGCCTACTTTTAGTCCTGCTTTTCTCAGGGAGGTAGGGTGAGGCTGATGAAAGGGACTCCTTTCCCCACTCCATGTGGCTGGAGCCTCAACACCTCCAGCCTCCATTTCAGTGCCTCACTTTGAGGCATGAGCCACAGGTACTCAGCAGTTGTCCACTCTTAGTTACACTACTGTTTATCAGCAAACTCCCCTGAATCAGTTTAATGCCAAGTGACTTTAAAGGCTAGGGACAGACATTCAAAAAGTTGGAGCCCAAATTGATTCAATCTTTGCAGGTTAGTCTAACCTGCAAAGATTGAATTGATTTACAAATGCACACACATTCATATTTAATTCTGGAAATGCAGGTGCATTCCTGCAGTGGCTCAGGCTAGAAGCTTGGGGTTGCTAGAACAGCCCTCCTTTCCGTTTCCAGCAGCCTCAAGGCTGGAGGGAAGCTGACATGAGGGGCGTGGCCAGGTCCCCACAGGGGCTAAGTATGATTGCAGTCATGGAAATTAACTAGTTAAAAGTTTAAAAAGTTAAAGAAATGTTTAACTCTTAACTTTAACTAGTTAAATTTTTCAGCTGTCAACTTTTAACTTTAACTAGTTTTTAAAAAGTTAACTTTTTTTTTAAAGTATAAGTTAAAAATTTTTAAAAAAAATTGAAATCTGGCTTTCCCAGAGTTTTTCCTGACACAGCCACTCTCCAGGACTTGCATGGAACAATGTTTCTTTATTGAAACTCTAGGACTTCTTTGAGAGATGAAAGTACTGTGTCTTCCTATGAGATATGGTCTCTTAAGAACTACAAGTCCCAGAGTTCCTTAGTTCATGCTGGCATTTTCTGTGCATTTGCAGAAGTCAAGAGGGCAGCCAGTTGGCTGCAGGAGAGGGAACAAGCATGTTCTCATCTGCCCATGAAGAGCAACTGTTCAGTATTGCGGGCTTAGTTCTGCAAGACGGAAGAGGAAAATTGTCAGATGTAAAGTTTGAAATGCAGCTTTTGCTGAAGTTCAATAAGGCATGTTTAAACAGTTTCTGCTATGCAACCGAGGATTCATTTTCTCATTTAAATGGATTTTTCTCATTTCTGTCTAATTTTTATTTTCAGACACTTTCATTATTTCTAATTCAGATGTATTTCATACTGTTTTGTTACCTTTTGAGCAATTAAAATTGAAACAACAGAGGTTTTCTGTGGAAACAGCTTTCATTTGTCACCTGGCTACAAATATCTCTTTTCTGTTGTTCTGGTATACCTAGATGATGCATTAACTTTTACAAAGTACTTCACATGGAGAGGGTGAGAAGGATCTAGCATTACATAGGTATTAGTAAATTGTTTTTTCTGAAAACTTTATGGCAAGTATAACATTGTTTTCAGGTAAAGCAGGATGAATTCTGAGTAAAGTAGTGGGCTTCTGTGGGCTTATGGAAAAGAAACCAACTCATTGCATCTGAAAATCAAAAATGATGCTAAGAAGCAATTCACCGTTTCACACATTTCTCACGAATCAACTAAACTTTTAACTACTTACTCTTTTTTTAACTTGCCTTTTAACTAGTTGAAAGTAGAAATACTTAACTTCTAACTTGGCAACCTTTAAAATTAACTTGAGTTAACTTTTAACTTTAGCTAGTTGCATGTTTCTTAAACTTTTCTCCCTTTACTATGATTGTGGAGGGGTAGAGGGGAAGCAGCCCTTGCCAGGCTTGTCCTTGAGGCCAGATACTGGCCAGGGCAGCACCTCAGGCAAAGGGGGGCACGGAGTAGGGATTAAACTCTCCTGTCTCTGGGCATGGGACCCCAGTTGGGGTCTGCCCAGTTTTCCCTCCTACTCTTGCTCAGGCGGCAGAGGGCCTGGCCAGAGCTGGCCAGCATGGCCCTGCTATCTGCCCAGGGCCGGGGCTGTGGGGCTGAGCTCAGCTGACCCATCGATGGTGAAACGGGCAGAGCCACTGGGGCAGCCCGGGCTGGGTCCATAGGGGCTGCATGGCCAGACTGCTCCTGGCTTCCCATGCCCAAGCCAGGTGGGGCTGTCATGGAGCCCCAGCCAACTGGGTCGCCCTGCCAGGTAGTCCGTGGGTTCAGGCCTGTGCTGCCGGGCCAGGCCGTCATGCAACTGCAGTGGGCTGGGAAAGGCCCTAACCCCATGGGCTGCCCAAAGGGGGCCCTACCCAGTCAGCTGGGACTCCATGACAGCCCTGCCTGACTTGGGTGTGGGGAGCCACACAGCCCCCACAGCCCTAGCCCCAGCTGCAGCCTGCTGGAAAGGACCCAGACCCAGTGGCCCAGCCCAGACTGGCCCCTCTGCCTCAGCCCTCTGCAACACTTGCCGACCAGGTGGGCTCAGCCCTGCAGCCCCAGCTGCTGGTGAGGCAGGTGGATGGCAGGCTCCATGCCAGCTGACTCCAGCCATGTTCCCTCCCCTGCTACTGGACTGGGGAGGGAGGGAATGGGTGATGAGCAACAGTACCCTGGTAGGGGAGGGGGGGGAAATAAACCCCTCCCTGCTCCCCTTGCTTCAGGGGGCCATGCTTCTGGCCATACCCCTGCCCCTGCTCAGGCTAGGGAGCAGAGGGGAGGGGCCAGCCCTGCTCTTTGGAGCAGACAGCACAGGCCCGCCCAGGGCTGCAAAGCATCTGGGGTGCTGGGGGACTCTGATTTAACTTAAACCAGGAAGGGGTCTGGGACAAACATTGCATAAACTGATTTGACCCAAATAAGTTAAGTCTGATACTATATTCAACCAGGTTTATTTTAAACCACTTTTGACCATTTTGAAACTGGTTTATGTGCACTGAATGTATGTTCTGTTACAGGTTTAAACCAGTTTCTGATCACTTAAACCAGTTTATGTGTAATATCTGTCCCTAGCCAAAATGTACTTTTCCTCTGTCACCCTTACCAGCATCAGATATGCATGAGGCTCTTATCCTAGATTCTACTAAATATAAATGTACTTTAAAATAATCTGCTCACTTCCTATTGATAGCAAATGTAATACAGATTGAAATAGCAAAAGGTATACAATGGCAAAAAGAAAAGCAATAATACCTAGTGTGAAGCAGCTAACATTCTGTTCAGATTCGGATTCGGCTGATCCGGGGGACAGTGATTTGATTCGATGATTCGAATCACTGTCCCGAATCGATTTGGCTGAAGCAGATTTGGAGATTCGGCTGCTGTCAAATAGGCCAAATCTCTGAATCACACAGGCCCCATCCCCCATCCACTCTCCAAGCCCTGCCAGGCCCCAGCTCCTGGCTCTTTGGAAAAAAAGAAAGCCCCCACTCACCCACTGCTGCCAGGCAGGAGGGCAAATCCCAATGCCCCACACTGTGTGGGGGGGCTCTGACATGAGCCCCCTGACCCCCACCCACTCTCCCAGCCCCCTCATAGCTGCCCTGCCTGCCCCAGCTCCCAACCCTTTAAAAAAAAAAAAAGCCCTTGACTCATCAGCTCCTGCCAGGCAGGGGGGCAATCCCTGCTGCCTCCTATTGCCCTGTGCTGCATAGGGGGCTCTGTCATGAACCCCCAGAAGCCCCAAGGCTGCTGCAACTGCCGGTGAGCCTGGGTTTTTTTGTTTTTTAAAGGGCCAGGAGCTGGAGCAGGCGGGGCAGCCCTAGCGGAGCTATGAGAGTGGGTGGGAGTCAGGGGTCTCATGACAGAGGCCCCCACAGAGCGTGGAGAAGTGGGGGGGAGCAGCAGCGATCACCCCCCACCTGGCAGAAGCTGGTAAGTGGGGGCTTTTGCTTATAGAGCCAGGAGCTGGGCCGGGTGGGGCAGCCACGGGGGAGGCTGGGAGAGTGGGCAGGGGTTGCAAGGGGAGGCGGGGGAGAAGGCAGGGGATGGAGCCTGGCAGCGGTCCCCCCCCATGGTCCCTTCCCCCCTCCTCCAGCCTCTCCTCCCCCACCCCCTACTTACCAGCATGGAGTCCAGGTCCACATCCCTGCTGCAGCCAGTGGGGACTGCCCAAATTGCCAAAGCTCTCGGAATCTTTTCCAGATCAATTCAGAGAGCTTCAAATTGATTCAGACCTTTTTAATTGGTCCCCTGATTTGATTCCGATTCAGAAATTTGGCCACCAAATTGAGCCGAATCTCCTTTGATTGAATCAGCACCTGAAGCTTTGCATAGCCCTAAATTAATATAATTTCTACTAGCAAGTTCTTACCTGTGATATCATGTACATATTAGTGCACCACTGCCAGCTGTAGCTCCATGTTCCACACAAACATTGAAGATATCTTCCATCCAGAAACAGTATTAGAACCCAGAAGACAGAAGGAAGTAAAGCCTTTCCCAGACCCACAAAGAAACGATGCCAGCTGAATTTGTCTGTACAACAACAAATGCGAAATGAGGCTGCCTGAAAAATTAAGGCCACTGCAAACCAAATAAGACAAGGAAGAAAGAAAAATGAGAAGGTGTAGGGAACCTTCCATCTGTTGTTTGCGGGGCATTTAAATTCCACTTCCATACTTTCTTCTATCAGTATGAAAACTGAACAATAGAATAAAACAGCTATAATAGAGATGTTATTCTTCCAAACCTTAAAAAAAAGATTTTTAGCTGACATTTTTCACTGTGGTAAGGCCTTTGCAGAGGAAGGGAAACAGGGAAAAGCTGTAAACCACAAATTTTTTCTACTTTTTATATAGAGGCATACAACAACAAAAATGTATGACGTACTTTCCAAAACATTTTTTTTTTTTTTGGTTTCCTGTTTATTGGTACTTTCAAGTAAGATTCCCAAGTAATTTGTCACAGTTGTTTACAGACTCCCTCATCTCCTCTGATTCCTCTATGTTCCTCTCAAATTGTTTTCACACTGGGCTGTGGTGTAATCTGTTGACAGTGTAGACTGAACTCCCCAAACAGATAAGTGATTACCAGCAGAGGAGAGACAAACATAGCGCCCATCTTGAAGCCTGATGGGACACTAGCTACCCCAAAAGCTTGAAAAGGAAAGAAATGCTGACAGGACAGTATTCTCAAAAGGCAAATGCAACCCTAAGGCATTGTTGCAAATGAACCACATAAGTTATTGAACTGATCTGTATTTGTTGGTAATGCCAGAGACAATTCATTTACACTAAACAGAAACAGCAATTCAAGCACCCTCACAGTCATAGATGAAACTATAAAAGCCAAGACCTTAGTGGTATAACAAAGTCTAGGTTGAAGCTAAACCATGAGGATTAAAGGTCTTCTCCAGTGAATAGGAACTGATTGGCTGCAACTGTCTGCACAGGAGAGAGAAACACACAGAGACTAGGGACAGAAATTACACATAGACCAATATAACTGATTGAAACCAGACTGAATCTGTAACAGAACAGAAGTTCAGCTTGCACAGACCAGTTTCAAAATGGCCAAACCCAGTTTAAGACAGACCTGGATGGATGTAGTATCAGTTTAGGTCAGACAGGTCTATTGAATTTCTGTTCCAGATACACTCCTAACTCAAGTTAAGTCATAGTCCTCTGGCATCCCAGGATGCTTTGTTGCCCTCTACCCCCATTTCCCTTCACAGGATGAGTAGACTAGCCTCCACCAGTGCTCTTCTGCTCCATCTGAGCTGGACCAGCCCCACATATAAGCTGTCACAGAGCTGAAGAGGCAAAGCCTTTGCTCCCCAGCCTGCATCTTGGCTGTAACTGTCAGCTTGGTGGGACAGTGGGGGGAGAAAGGGAGGGTACAGAGCCCCCTTGCTCCAGTCCCAGCCCTCCCAGCTGAGTTCTGCCCAGTTGAAGGGAGCCCCACACTGTGGGGGATTCCTTCTCCCTTGCTCAGCCAGGCCAAATGCTTAACCCCACTTCCTGCAAGTCTCTGCCCCCTCCATAGGAAGGGGGAGGTAAGGAGTCTCCTGCCATGGTCACAGCCCCACCTCTCCCCCAGCTGGACAAACCCCAGCTTGGGGAGGGCCAAGACCAGCTCCCCACAGCTGGGCAGACCCCAGCTCACAGGGAGCCTAGGGCCAGGGTGGGGGACTCCATCCCCCCCTCCACCTACAGGGGGATGGCAGGGGGTTGGGAGCATGTGCCAGGCAGCCAATCAGGGATGGCCCTACTCAGTTGGGCTCAGTTGGGTTTGGCAATGACCAGCAGGCTGGGAGGCATGCAGGACCCTGCCTTCTGGCCTGGGCTAGTGCAGGCATTTGAATTTTCCTGAGTAAACATGAGTTCTATTTGTTATTGTTCCAATCTATGCAGCTTAGAGAAACCTGCGAAGATTAGATCTATTCCACTTCAGGCTTTTTGACTTTCTGTACTTAGCCACAGAGAAAACCAGAAAACAAGGAGAAACGGGAGAGCACAGCCTTGAGCTCAACCAGAGACAGAGATGCTTGGGACACAGAACTCACTGGGAGACAGAATTGGAAACTAATGTTCTTCATTCCTGACTTGTATTATCAATTTCTCCTCCTGCAAACAATTTAGTACAGTCCTGAATACTTGCTAAGTGTTCCAGCCAAGAGGAAAGAGAGCACCCTTGGGAAATTTTTCAAGAGTAGTTAAGGCTGGCTTTAGAAACTAAACTACAACATCCTGAAAGATTTGGGTCCTGCATATCAAATATTCCACACTAATAAAACATACGGAAGTAAGATATATTAATTTCAAATGCATTCATTTTAACAATATTTATCAACAAAAGCAGTTTTTATATCACAGACATTTTATCAACAAAAGCATTATACAATGTTCTAATCTAATGGATAAATTTATGCACACAGACACAGTAATATAAAAGCTTTAGATTTTGCTCAGCAAACAATATACATAAAGGGTTTCTTTGCTATGTCCCTGGTTTTATTTTAGCCTTAAGGCCTGTATTATCAAGCTTAACATTTGACTAAAATAATTGGCTCTTGCTTAAAGCAGTGTTACACCAATAGACTTCCACTCATTTTCATATAGTTATCTGTAACTGCCAACTGTAAGAAGAGAATCAGATCATCCATATAAAGCATGTTAATAAAGTTTAACACACAACCTAAAGTATCAGCAACTTCAGGACTTTTGAAGTAGCTTGCATCCTCATCTCCTCATCCCCTCCCTGGGGGCATGAGTGACTGATGCCTCCTGAATCTGGGGGGCACCCGCAGAAGCCACCAACCCTGTTGGGGGGGTGGGCAACAGCCCTACCCACAGCATCAGTGTTGGCTGTCGGGGGGGCACCGGCCCTGTCAGGGGGGACACCTGCACCCCCTACCAGTTGCCTATGCCCCAGGGTACTTGGGAAGGCCCAAGGAGGTACGTGTGGGTTGGTGGGGATGGAGAGCCACCACCCGCTGCCCTGCGCCGTCACTTCCCAAGAGCAGGGCTGCGGGGGCGGGGGGGGGGTGAGGGCAGTG